AAACACAGACTTAAAGTGTATTTTTTCAGGTATATATTTCCCTCCTAAGCTGCGTATCCGGAGTGTATAACATTAATGAATTATGATAAATGTGATATAAGGAAACTTGGCTAAGAGGAAACTTTTAATGTGTTTGCTTTTTTTTTTTTTACCAAGAGGGAAATGGAGTCTAAATTTAGGCCGGTCTCATTAATGCAGCGTGCAGCAGCACAGATGTCAGAACAGCGAACTGCTGAAGTCGTCCCAGATATCCGAGGTGTTTCAGCATCCATCTGCAGAGCTTAGCAGCATTAGCTAACTCATCATGCAGTGGTTTCCTCCTTTCATACATTATCTCTGCAAACTGTAACATCTTTTTTTGACTTTCTGGTAAATCCCTGAGCTCCTTCTGCGCAGTGAAACCACACCCAGCTCCTCCTCACTGTGGGATCTTCTCTTCTGCTCACAGTTTGACCTTAAAACCCCAGAAGCTTTTAAAAATAACGCCCAGATGTTTGTTCTGCTTTATGTTTGGTGTCAATCAGAACTGAAACAGGAGACATGGTTTTCATGCTTTAAGCACAGCTGATCTGGGTGATGTAGAGGGCCCCCAGGGGCTGCTGGCAGGGATAGAGTACTTCCCGCTAGGAAAAGCGAGGGACAGGCAGCCATTTTCTCAAAGCTCTGAGTCATTCTTTAACTCTGAATTACAAAAAAACAACTGATGTGTAACTTTTCTTACTCTTTCTTTTGTACCTATCAAATGGGAACCAGTCCCTGTGGCTTGATGGATCTGATGGAGTGAAGAACAGCCACAGAAGAAACACTTTGAGAGGTATAACAGAAATAAAATCGCAGCAGGTGAACATGTGGACAGAAGGAAGGGAGGAAATCCGAGGAGATCAGGGAGAAGGAAAACCTTTGGATCGTTGTTTTCCTTCAGTATTTAGAGTTTCCACAGCAGCAGAGGTTTAGGGAAGGAATCTGCTTCCTCACAGGCTGTGAGAAGTGTTTTTAATTCAGACTAATTTTCATGTGAATGTGCTTTACTGGAGGCATCCATGTTTGTCAAAGAACACTACTGCCACCTACTGGTTAGTGACATTGTCACGGTGCGGTATCGGCTGTTGATCAAGTCCCAGTGCTGTATCTGGTGTTTGTCACAACGCGCTATTATCCAAGTCATCTTGAAAACATTCTTCTTCCAAATGTTGGCTACATATTACGGGTTTTTTCTCTGGCCAGAAGTTCGATGGCAAATCCTCCCTCTTCAAGTTGGCGATCCAACGACCAACCCGTCCGTGGAGGATCAGGAATCAGAAAGGTGGAATAACTCTTTTTTTTTCACTTTTACCCGATGTATTCCAGCATCCAGCTGCCATGCACGTGGGCATTGTCAGTTTCACTATAGCTCTGGTGAATTTCAATGGTGAAGTCCTCTGGAAATCTTCAATAATTGTTGTTGATTGCAGATGTGTCTAGTAGTTCCCATTGATTTAGCTTGGAAAGCGGGGAGAATGGCGCTAGGCTAACCGCACCGTGACGTCACTGCTGGAAGATGGCAGGAGGGAGGGGCTACTATATTTATTTGGTTATAGTTAGAGTGGCATGGTTAGTTATGCTGCTATAGGCTTAGACTGCTGGAGGACATAGGGACCTCTTTTCCTCACTCTGCTTTATTCTTTATTTTCTATCCTCCCATTCTGTTGTATTTGTTAGTTCAACCTCTAACTTTATGCCTTTTCTGCTTTTTGGCTGTGACTCCACTGTTTTTTTGTTTTTCTTTTTTGCTCTTAAAAGGGAGTTTTTCCTCTCCACTGTTGCTTCATGCATGCTCAGTGCTGTGGAGTCTATGAAATGAATCCAAGCTGATATCTACTAATCTGGATGTATAAAGTGACCTGAAAGGACATGTGTTGTAAAGTAGAGCTATAAAAACTTACTGAATTGAGTGAATTTGACTTGTCCAACCATTTTAGCGACACACCACTTCTTGGCTTGTCCTATAATGATGGATTTCATCAGGTTTCTCAACCTGAACATCTCAATATTTCTCTCTTTTATTGCATTTTAATAAGGCAAACTCTTCCTTTTGTGTTGACGTGGTTGATTTTCTGTGTGACCGACTGGGCAGCGGGCCCAGCACCGGAAGAGAAATACAATAAGCAGGACAACCTGTGCCAAAACTCCGGCGCTGTATCAGTATTCACCAACTAATCTCACGTTTCTTCTTTGAGCAAAACCCAATGAGCTCCTGGTGTGCGGTTGTGCAGCCATAACCCCGCTAAGGATGGAGGGATGGATGAGTTTTCTGGTCAGGTTTCAGCACACAATCGCCTATTATAACCAATGCATCTCAGCCTTTCTGCAGATCAAAGGTCCAGAGGGTTTGAATAACCAGGACTATTTTCCTGTAAGGCTTTGAACCGATGTATTTAATTCATAGTTAGCTGGAAACATATTGAACTCCTCACACCCAGGCTGAGTAATGCTGAGGAGGTGAAGACGAAAAATGTCAATGTGTGGAAAATCAATAAACTCTCACTGAACCTGAAAAATAAGTGCTTTATCCACAACAACGGGGCCAAGTTCTCCTCGTCTATTAGTCTCTTTGCCTCCATGTTTCAGCGCTCTACCTCCCCGTTGTCCTCCTTATATTCCAATTTACTGTTCATCTTTCCATCTGTTCTGTTGCTCTGCTCCCTGTTTGTGTAGTGAAGAAGAAGAATCAATGAGATGCTCCTTTGTGCTGGCAGAGGTTCTGATCGGCAATCAATGCCCCACCCAAAGACAAGAGAAATGCAAGATAGCATAGATGAACAGATGCCATTGCACTAAAACGAGAAATGTTTCTTTTTCCTTGAACTAGAAACATGCTTTATTGATGACATTGATACCGTACACACAGTACTCTGTTAAATCAGAAAGCACATTCAAGATCTTCTTCTAACTTCATCGGAAATTTTTTTTAAGGATTGAACGTATTTTTAATCTTATTTAAAAGGTATAGGCAATCCACAGGCAGATGGACGGTAGGTTACAATAGGTGGCAGAGTAGTTTGGAGAAAAGAAATGAGTTATGTAATACTAGTTTTTAACGTGCAATAAGTCCCCACTGTGGATGGGGACAAAAAGTATCTACTCAAACACCTCATACTTTTTATCCGTGGATTGCAAAGAGGAGACCAACATCAGGGAGAACTTCCCGCTAGACATCATCAGGGCTGCCAACTCTTCACCAAACCTGGGAGTGAGATTTTGAAAGAATCTGTACATGCAGCCCCTGTCAGGGTGAGATGAGGACAGGCGCAGCTATAGGTTGGAGGTTTTCAGAGGATTTAACTGAAACAAAGTTGTAAAATGTTGATTTTTTTTATAGCATAGTAAATATTACTGAATAACAATAAGTGATCTGTAGTTATGTGGAAAGTTTTTCTCACAATATCCATTATTTTCTATATTCTGGTGATTTTCAGAGAAATGAAGTAAAGAAGAATGGGCCCTACTAATTTTTTTTTTACAATTGACAAAACAGCTAAACTATTCAGACCTTCATTAGATTCTATAAAAACTCACCATGGCAGGAGACAGCATTTCAGCGGATGTTTGATTCCGGTAGATGTGATGTAAATTAAGTTTTTAAACCAGGGGTCACCAACGCGGTGCCCGCGGGCACCAAGGCGCCCTCAAGGACCACATGGGGGCCCCTCTTCGTCTTCTGAAAACAGAAGAACTCACTCAGTGGGTTAAGTTTAATTTTTTTTTTATTCTGTTGCTCTTCTTTTTAATCATTTATGTATTATTTCATCATGTTAACTATTTCATCATATTTCAGTGGTTTCAAAATGACAATATTAAAAAGAAAATTAGAAATGAATAAAAGAATAAAATAAGAATAAAAAAGAGTTTTTATGGATGAGATTTACTGTAGGTGAACACTGATCCCTCCAGTTCATAGGTCAGTATTGGTAGCCCTTCCTATGACTCGGTAGCCATGAAGTAGCCCTCAGCCTTAAAAAGGTTGGTGACCCCTGATTTAAACATATTCAATGGACCAAACTAAGAATACACGATTAAGATAAGTAATAATAAAATCAGAACATCCCTCTGGTTCCTCTTATATCCCTCCAGGATAACTGAGCTGTTCTGCATATTCTCTCTAAATCTGGTTGGTCTTTTCTTGGGTGGCTGATCTTTGAAAAATAAAATGCAACGGTTCTTTTTCTTTTTGTGGACCTCCTGTAGTTTTGAGAGGCAAACCTGAAAGCTTTAAGAATTTAGTTTTGTTTAATTCTATTCAGTTTATTTCTATAGCTCCAATTCCCATCATGTCATCTCAGGTCACTTTCCAGTTCACCAGATCATCCAGTCAGATTGATTCAAAGTTTTCTATCTAAGGAAAACCAGCTGATTGCATCGACTCATTGACTCTTCAGCAATCCCTCACACTAAGCATGCTTGTAGCGACAGTGGAGAGGAAAAACTCCCTTTGAACAGGAAGAAACCTCCAGCAGAAGGGTTAGATTATGGAGTTAATCAAGTTTTGTTTTGTCAACAAAACTTTTTTCTGGTCAATAGAGTTTTTGTAACCATCTGGATTAGCTTCTGCTAGCAGCAGCACCTTCAGCCAACTCCGCCCTCTTCCTCCGTTTGCTCCTCCTCATCTTCATCACCTCTTGTGATTTCTACATCATCATCAATTTTAACTGAAAAGTTTTACCGTTACTCTTTGCTGTTTTAGCTGGATGGTTTTAGCGTTAGAGAACCTAGCATATGTCATTTACCCAGAATGCACTGCAGGGTAAACAACACTGAAAGTCTTTGTGACTAAATATTTCTAAAATCCATTCATGCTAAAGAGCATCAATGATTGAAAACAAATGTTGCTCAGATAAAGTCTAAAGTTAGCGCTAACGGTGGATCCCTTTAACCTTTTGACCTAAAGTTCGGTCTAATGCGCTGAAATCCGAGCCGCCTCGCTCAGACGGCGGGCCCGCTCTCGCCGACGCCCTCTCTCCTACCTGTAAACCAGCGAGTCGTCCTGGCTGCCGTTGTACTGGATCTGGAACATCCTGATGCCGGGGATGTTCCGCTGAAAGTTGAACTTGATCAGAGCGGTGGACGACGTGGCCTCCGCCGTCACCACCCGCTTGTCGGCTCCGCCCTTCACGTCACCCGTCACATTGCTGCCGTTGGCGCCGCCCCGCGTGGACGTGGAAATGTCGGACGAACCGGGGTCTGGTTCTTGGATGTTGTTGGTGTTGTTGGAGATGTGAGGCAGTTTGATGATGACCAGCTCCACGGTCTGGTGGGCTTCCCCGGCGGGGTTGGACGAGATGCAGGTGAAGGAGCCCGTGTCTTTCACAGTGCTGATTAGGATGTCCAGAGTCCCGTTGTTGTAGACCAGGGTTCTGGAGGAGTTAGACACCAGTTTGCCTTCAGGAGAAATCCAGTGAATGGCCGGTTCTGGATCCCCTCTGGCCTTACACCTTAAACAACAGAAAAGGAAGACAAGAAAACAGCTAAAATCTTTGACAGACGCCGCAAATAACCTACATTTAGACCAAACCCTTCCTGTTCTCTGGCAGAAGAGGAGCTAAACAAGCAGGCAGGGGTGGATTTAGCAAATTTGGGGCCCTATGCAAAGACAGGCATGGGGCCCTCTGATCTGAGAAGCTGAGACACACATAATATTATCATCATTCTGATGGCATTTTAGCCAAAGGATTTTTATCAAAAACATAATTAATGTGCACAAAGAAGGAATAGTTGTATTAACCATAAATATAAACAGAGTTTTATGGGGCCCCCAGGAACTTGAGGCCCTAGGCAACTGCCTAGTATTGTCTAATGGTAAATCCCCCCCCTGTTCTTTCACTCCAACACTTTGCATTTTGCTTCAACTCTAAACTCAGAATCTTATTTGACAAGAAACATAATTATGGAGGGAAATATATTCCAATATTACTCAGAGCAAAGAACATGTTTACAAAAGGGAACTGAAAGAAAAATCACTTTCAGAAAAGAAACTTAAACCGATATTTTTACTGTTTGCTATAATATATTTCTTAAAATTTCTTAAAATTTGCATTATTTTAAAATCCTATTTTCCAAATTTCCCTCGCTACACTTGGTGGTCTGAGCACCGACCAATAGAAACATTGTTGATAACGTCAATGAGGAGCAGACTCGTTTCTATTGGTCCACGCACAAAACAATAGAAATGCTGCTTTCACATACTTGTTACAAATTACTCTCAAAAGATTTAAGTTCCCTTTTTTAATACATTTTCTTAAAATGTCCTTTCTTGAAATTCCAATATTGCTTTCAATAAAATGGGGGCAAATTTCTCACCATACAATTGTATTAACAAACTACGACGGAGTATTAGGGCCAGGCTAGCGATTTCTGTTTTTGTTATATTTCGAGAATAAAGTCGTAACATTATGAGAATAAACTCGCAATATTAAGAAAATAAACTTGGAACAAGACTGTTCATAAAATTATGAGAATAAAGGCGTATTATTAAGAGAATAAAGTCACAATGAGAATAATCATAAAATTAAGAGAATAAATAAATGAAGTTACGAGAATAAAGTCACAACGTGAATAGTCATAACATTATGAGAATAAATTCTTAAAATTATGAGAATAAAGTTTTTATTTTATGACAGCGCATCAGTTTGACAAAAAAGGAAATCTTTTAGCAACAGCATCAAACTGAGCAGGATGGACTCAGGTTCCTGATTGGTGGAGCTATTCTCGTAATGTTACGACTTTATTCTCAAAATGAAAAAAATTAATAAATCTCTAGCCTGGCCCTAACACTCTGTCGTAACAAAAAATTGTAAAATCTGAAATCACAAAAGATTTTGTTAAAACTTTTATTTATATTCAAATTTGGTCTATCGTTAATTTAAAAAAATGTTTTAGTAAAAAAAAAAAGTGCACCCTTCTCCTAAACGGATTATTATTAGAGCCGTCTCCTCCTCCCTCCGGTGGCTTTTATTCATGTTTCTAGTTATAATTTATCTAAATGTCCTTGAAGATGGAGAACCTCTTTACCATCACCATAATCTCTCACCTCCTCGGATTGATTCTCTATCAGGATTCTGTCCAAAACACTCCAAAATCATTTTAATACGTAACTTTAAACCAATAATGGACAAACTAACATCATTAGAGCTCAGTCAACAAAGTAAGGAGGAGATAAACGCCTGCTCTGCAATAACTGATCTAAGAATAAATGAACATTTCTTAAAATAAAGTTTATATCAACATAATTTGCCTCATTTGTTTCCCCTCCAACAATGATAGCTGTTTTCAGACCTTCTTCCAAATATAGGATTATTTTTGCCAATGAATAAATGAAAGATTTAATGTGTCCTAAGTGTTCAGATGGAGAATACCCTGATTAGACTAAAAGTGAAGAAAGATTTAAGACTCTTTCCACTCCTCTACCGGTGATCCAAACAAGTCTTGACCATTTCAAACCATTTTCAGACAGTGGCCTGTACCTGAGCGCAACTCTCTGTCCTTCCAGGACCCTCATCTCGTGGGAGAATCTGGTGATGAGGGGGGGCTCACAGAGGAACTCCTCCTCAGAGATGGACCAGAAGTAGCGACCCGCCAGGTGCTCAGGTGTGGCACACGTCTCCAGGTCGTCCTCTCGTTTCAGCCTCCTCAGCCAGAGCAACTCACAGTTACAGTGGAGAGGATTTCCCCCGAACGACAGCGCGAAGGACGACGGCGTCATGTCCCCGGATGTAGCGAGAACCTGCAAGATTTACAGAGCGAGGGACAGCTTCCAGGGCCAGGTCCGTACGTCAACAACCAAGAGACATTTATAATCAGAGGGGGAAAAATCGAGGTCAAGAAAATAAAAAGACTTTCCACAGACTGGGAACCAATTAACTGCTTATGTGACCAGGATGAAGGAAAACTTCCTGGGCCTGGATTACACCAGTGCCGCCACCAGTGGGGTGGCCAGGGGCACACTTGCTGTTTCATAGCATCAGTAGATTATTGTCATTTAAGGGAAGAAATAGACACATCACCTTGTATAGTCAGTATAAATGCTATGAAGTCCATAAACCATGTAATATAACATATTATACAAATCATCACAGCAAAATTAGAGTGTTAACGGAACATAATAACACTCTAGTCAGATATTAGGACTATTACACACACAGAATATCTGATGATGCGCCAAAAGTGCTGAATTGATGATGTAAAGTAGCAGCCATTCAAAACAGCCCCTCCCAGCCAAACAGCCATCGAATGGCAGCAAAATCCCCTCCAACTTCCAGCCGTTGGCCTTCTCCTGCCTGTGCAGATTTCGTTACTCTGACTCCACCCTTTCTCTGAATTACAGGGTCTGACCAGGAGCTCATTAAGATCTCTTTAGATCTTAATGTCCACAAATCATGACAGAGAGAATATTTTAGTACAAAGATTGATGTTTAAAAAGGAAGTGAAGGGGACCAGCCAAGGACCAACCAATGACCAACCAAGGGCCAGCCAAGGACCAGCCAAGGACCAACCAAGGACCAGCCAAGGACCAACCAAGGACCAGCCAATGACCAACCAAGGACCAACCAAGGGCCAACCAAGGGCCAGACAAGGACCAACCAAGTTCCAGACAAGGACCAGCCAAGGGCCAGACAAGGACCAGCCAAGGATCAGCCAAGGACCAGCCAAGGACCAACCAAGGGCCAGCTAAGGGTCAGCAAATTGCGAACCAAGGACCAGCTGAGGGCCAACCAAGGACCAGCTAAGGGCCAGTCAAGGGCCAACCAAGGACAAGCCAATGGCCAACCAAGAACCAGCCAAGGGCCTACCAAGGGCCAGACAAGGACCAACCAAGGGCCAGACAAGGACCAGCCAAGGGCCAGACAAGGACCAGCCAAGGATCAGCCAAGGACCAGCCAAGGACCAACCAAGGGCCAGCTAAGGGTCAGCAAATTGCGAACCAAGGACCAGCTGAGGGCCAACCAAGGACCAGCTAAGGGCCAGTCAAGGGCCAACCAAGGACAAGCCAATGGCCAACCAAGAACCAGCTAAGGGCCAACCAAGGACCAGCTAAGGGCCAGCCAAGGGCCAACCAAGGACCAGCTAAGGGCCAGTCAAGGGCCAACCAAGGACAAGCCAATGGCCAACCAAGAACCAGCTAAGGGCCAACCAAGGACAAGCCAAGGACCAACCAAGGGCCAACCAAGGACAAGCCAATGGCCAACCAAGAACCAGCCAAGGGCGAACCAAGGACAAGCCAATGGCCAACCAAGAAACAGCTAAGGGCCAACCAAGGACAAGCCAAGGACCAACCAAGGGCCAACCAAGGACAAGCCAATGGCCAACCAAGAACCAGCCAAGGGCCAACCAAGGACAAGCCAAGGACCAACCAAGGGCCAACCAAGGACAAGCCAATGGCCAACCAAGAACCAGCCAAGGGCGAACCAAGGACAAGCCAAGGACCAACCAAGGGCCAGCCAAAGACCAACCAAGGGCCAGCCAAGGACCAACCAAGGGCCAGCCAAGAAACCAGCCAAGGACCCATCAAGGAAAGTGGGGAAATTTTGAATGGCTACTACTGTAATATACATGTCTTTATTATATTTTTATGGTAATTACATTACAGGGATTTTTTTGGCGCAACTCCATGAGAGTGGGGAGTACCAAGATGGCAGCAGGTGTCTTCAGTTTTTTTGGTCTATCAGCAATCCAGTGGATAAATAGAGATCAGTGGTGGAAACACTCAGATAGCGTAACATCAGTGGCATGCGCAGGAGATCTGGTACCTAGATCGCCTCTGGCGTTAAAATAATGCGATGAAGTACCTGCGCCCGCTGAAAGAGAGGGTCTGGTGGGAGCTTCTGAAGCTTATTGGAGGTGACGTCCAGCCGGTTGAGTTTCTGCAGAAGGGAGAAGGTTCCCTCTGGAATGTAATCCAGCATGTTGTGGTCTAAACTCAGCGTGTGGAGACTCGTCATTTTCTGCACAAACAGAAGAAAAATATACATTTCATTTAAAGTAGGTTAATATTTTAACACAAACGTCTTTAAACATCCAGAAATAGGAGTTTGGTGTGTTTAGAGCGGGCTGACCTGAATAGACTCCCACGGAATGGAGTCCAAGTTGTTGTAGCTGAGGTCCAGCTCCTCCAGCGCCAGCAGGTCGTTGAACGCTCCCTGATGGATCAGCACCAGCTGGTTGTTGTTGAGGATCAGGTGGTGTAGCTTCGACATCCCGCTGAACGTGTCATTGCCTATTCTCGTCAGCCGGTTGCTGCGACATGAAAGAAAAAACAAACAAACCCCTGAACAATCTGCAGGTTTTATTTCCCCCATCAGGCTGCGGCGGTCTGGAGGGACGGCGTACCTGTTGAGGTGTAGAGCTCGGAGGTTTTCCAGATCTGCAAAGGCATGAGGTGTAATGAAGGAGATGGTGTTCCTGGATAAGGTCAGGTCCACCAGCCGTGTCATGTTGGCAAAGTCTTTTCTTTTAACGCTGTTGAAACAAAGGAGTTCAGCGTAATTAAACACTCAGAGCATCAGATATGATCCGCCTCAGCGGAGCAGCTTCAGCAAACATCTGTTTGTTTTTCTAGCAGGAGGATCCAAACTCACAGAGGACTGAAGATGCAAACATCTATCAATATGCAAGATAAATTTCATATAAATCCTTCCCAGCTCGGTCCCACATTTGTTACGGCTCCCTCTAGCGTGGCGTCCGCCAGGAGACAGCCTGGAGCTGCTTCAGTGGCTTTGAACCAACCATGACTGGAAAAATCTCTTTGTTTTTTTACTCTGATGAGGTTTCTCTCCATCCAGAGGCGTCTGGGTTTGCAGCAGCAGCAGAACCGTCTCTGCCTTCCATCCATCACTGATTTATCTCCCAATAGGATCCTGCAGGTCTCTGCTCCCAGAACTCAATCTGTGGTCCATGTTCATTGTAGTAATGAGGCGGTGGGGATTTCAGGAGAACCTGCCTCTCTTTTTCACCCAGTCTCCAATCAGGTGACCCGGTATAAACACCCGGGTAAAATAATAAGAATTGAACTTCATTGATCTCACATTAGAGAAATTTACCTCTGCATTTAACCCATCCTCTTGGGGAGCAGTGGGCTGCCATTGTGCAGCACCCGGGGAGCAATCGGGGGTCTTGCTCAGGGACCCAGAGTGGAGGCAGTGGGATTCAAACAAGGTATGCTGCCTTTTCAGAGCACAAGCGCACTGCTGTAACCCCCCACGCCAACACTTCCCTGCAAAACTAGCGACTCTGACCATGGGGGCCAACTATGTGGCAGACAGCCGCTCCATTCTGGAGAGAAATATCAGCTGTGCTGCTGCCATCAACACCTTTGTTTCTAGATGTTGGAGCTTGGCCTGTTTTCCAGTGTAGTCCTGTTTCTCTGACTGTGACTAACTGGATGTGCTCTCTTCATCCTCTGACATGGGAGCAGCTGTGTGTTTCCTGGACGGGGCCTGTGGAGCTGGTTGACAGTTGCCTTTTGTATCTATGGTTCTTTTTCTATGTCTGCTTCTGTCTCCTTGAACCCCAGTGGGCCTCAGCAGATGGCCGCTCACACTGAGCCTGGTTCTGCTGGAGGTTTCTTCCTGTTCAAAGGGAGTTTTTCCTCTCCACTGTCGCTACAAGCATGCTTAGTGTGAGGGATTGCTGAAGAGTCAATGAGTCGATGCAATCAGCTGGTTTTCCTTAGATAGAAAACTTTGAATCAATCTGACTGGATGATCTGGTGAACTGGAAAAGTGACCTGAGATGACATGATGTGAATTGGAGCTATAGAAATAAACTGAATAGAATTGAATCTCATTGGCACTCAAGCGTTCGTCACCTTGTCACAAAGTTGTCGGCCAGCCGTAGCTCCACCGTGTGCCTGTCGATGTTCGGCGGAACAAACAGCAGACCCTTCTTTGCGCACAGCGTCGCCAGGTTAGGTGACAGGATTTGGCAGACGCAGCGCTTCGGACAGATCTGCGCCCGCACCGCCATGGAAACCGCCAGCATCATGCAGAGCAACAGCCTCTCCATGGTTAGCATCCTCAGCGGGTCGAACACCTGAGCAACGAGATGGGAAGACATTGACAGAGTTAGCCACATCTTCTGTTTACATTAGAGAGAAGGCCAAAATAGGACGCTTGTTTATCTGGATAATTCTGGAAAAGAAATTCTGTAATCAATTACAGACAAAGAACTTTTTTCTCAATAAACAGAAGAAAGCAGCAAAAGTAGCTTTTTAAGATTAAGTGAACATAACCTCGCTAATCGCTAATTTATCATTCTTTAGCAAAAATGAGTACTGAGAGGAAATTTTTGCGAATTTGTTCCTTATAGTGGTATCAAAAGTTCCCACATTTGATACTTAAGTAGAAGTATATAGTATAGAATATAAAAACATTTTGGTAAAAGTTGAAGTATCAACTTGACCTCTTTACTCAAGTAAAAGTGAAAAAGTATGCTCCAAAAACTACTGAAAGTATAAAAGTATAAAGTAACCTTTAAAAAACAGCCAGATGCCGCTATATGAATTAAAAGCTCGATTTTTTGACTATTTCTATAAATCCTCTGAGATAGGGCCAAGGATGAGGGAGGTCTGGTTGGTCTCCGTCTCCCGATACGCTCTCGCCTGCGTCCGACCTTTCAGACATTTCAACATCTTTTTCCGAATCCCACATTGTAGCATGGCATAGACAATTCACGTTAGCAGTTTGAAGAACACCTGCTTGCTTCTGATGATTTCCTTTAGCTAACCAATGAGTGTTTGCGTTATATGACTCATCCAATTACACTAGTTTTCACTAGATGTGGGTGGAGCCAATGATCTGCATTGGATGGAGCACATGACAGGTAATGTTTGATTTAAAAATGTAAGGAATAGGAAGTACAGATACTTGTGTGAAAATGTAATGAGTAGAAGTCAGAAGTAGGAAGAAAAATAAGTAATGAAGTAAAGTATAGATACCAAAAGTATTTGTACTTCGTTACTTGACACCTCTGCTTCCTTCCATCCGTGAGACAAAATAAGGATCTGGGATTTGACTAGGCCAATCACACATTTTTAACCTTTTAACACCCACCTAATTTAAAGTAATCCTAACCTATTTTGCATACATAAATGGAAAAGCAAATAACTGAGCAACTGTGATACATCATTTAAAAGCAACACCTTCTAGTTTCTGAAAATATTAATGAAAATAGTGTGAGTAAAAAACAGTCCAAGCTGCATCAGGTCAAACATGACTCAAAGTTTTTATTCTCAAAAATAAATGGTCTTATTTGAACAGCAGTAATAAAGACATGTTTGAGTAAAAGGCATTTCTCATTGCATTAAATTTGTTCTACATCATGTCAGCCACAAAAGCAGAAAAGTTCAGAGCTCTAGCTCCAACAGTTCCAGAGCTGTGGGGCTTTGAACTGTTGGTGTCGCCACCGTCTCCAAATCTCTGCAAATTGTGCCAAATGCTTTATTAAACTCTGACCCATAGAATAACACTGAAGCATTTTGATGACCACAAAACATTTATAAAGCAGATAATTTCCACTTTTTTCAGATCAGTGCATATAACAAAATGTAACATTTATAAACCTAAAATGACGTAAAAATCTATAAAAAATATTTAAACTGATGCTCAAGTTAAAATAAGCCACAGTTCTTTTTCTGAGCTATATTTTGTTTTTGTTTTTTTTTCCACCTTAGGCATTGTTAAAAAACAACATCAGTGTCCAAACTTCAAAAATATTGGAGCGTTTTTCGTAACTGCGCGCATTGATGCAGCCTCACCTGTGTTTCACTCTTATGCTACGTTCACACCGGACGCAGCAAGAGCAGCAAAATCGCGTCTGCTGCTTCATTTTTGCTGCTTGTACCAGTTAGTTCTGACGCGCGGCTGAAGCAGCTTTGCTGCTCTGGCTGCGCAGTGCAAAAGTGTTTCTGACGTGCGTTGGGCGGAGCTTCACTATCCTTTCTCTGCCTTGCAGCTATATTTGCTGTGATCAGTGGGAATAAAGTAGTTTTAATATGTTTTTAAGTGAGAAAATACACCTGAAAACTCACTGCAGTCAGTTCATCCAGATTACCATCCTGCCTTCCAATATTATTTCTGTCAGAGCTGCTCAGACCCCCACATACCAGCGGTGCGCTGTCAGTAGGAATCCCATTCAACAGCAGCCTCTGGCCCGGTCGCCGCCTCGCGGTTCACAGACGCGCTGCGCCTGCTGCTCAAAACGCGCCGCGGGACCTTTTGCTGCACCTTGACGCGCGTCAACCATTGACTTTGCATGTAAACTCGCTGCTTCTGCCGCGCCTGCTGCGTCCGGTGTGAACGCAGCATTACATACGTTGGTAACGTGGCTCTGCTTTATGTCTAGGCTTCTTTGAAACCTTATTTCATTTGCTAAAAAGCCAAACAGCCCACGAGTTCTCAACCAATAACAGCAGGACTTTGTGAGGCGTAATATCGCTCTACTTGGTGTGTCTGAAAGGCAAGGAGCGCCCGTGAGGCTTCATCGGCTGTCCCTGACTCAAATCGAGTCACAGAAAGATGACTTGTCTCTGTGAATTTACGTGTAGAAACTCTTTTTGGAGGTTGTGGGATCAAACCCTTTATCTGTGCTGATAAACTTCCATCCACCAGTAGCTCCTCTGCTTCCTCTTGTCTCCGTTTCGCTGTTAGCAGAAGCTGGTTGGTTAATCTTTTTATTTCAATTTACAGGCCTGCTTCCTGTCCGGTGCCTGATTTCTCCTGTTGTCGCCCATTTCCTGGCACTTAACACACACCATGTGAGCGTTCACACGGGTCGATCTGGGTTTCAGTGTGAGAACACCTTTAACCCAAATGTTTTTATTTTGTAAACAAGCAACACAACGCCGTCATGTTTATCATTAAAGTTAAAGCTGCCTTCATTTAAACGGAGCTGAAGATCTAAAGCAGAAAATGGAGTGAAACAGAATGAATCAAACTATAAACAAGTTTTTAGAGATAGAATCGACTACGTTTTTATACTTGATTCAATTAAAGATTTATAAAAGCTATGAGTAAATAAAAAGCTGAGCTGTTTAGTGAAAAAGTTCACCAGTGAAAGTTTGAATCAGGGTCTAACAGAACGGCAGTTCTTTAAGGTTTCATTCAGGGAAGCGATCGGGATGATTTGACTCCATATCTGCAGCCGTTGATCTACATCTCAACGTGTCTGTGGTTGCTATGGTTACTGCTGTAACTGAGGTTTTTTTGGTCGTTTCCGTCTTTCTTTTCGCTTCTGCTGAAATAAAATATTTTGAATTTGAAAAACATGAGAACAATTATTGATCAGTTTATTTTTCACTCTAAACCAAAAACAGGATGCTTCCAAAAACCGATCATCTCATCTCTTTCTGTCTGAATATAAATCTGATTAAACTTCCCCGGTTTCTGGTCAACTATGAGCAGAGCTGGGGAATAACTACTTACATTTACTTGAGTAAAATCTTCAAATATTAAAAAAACTTTTAGGAGTCATTTTACTTCACTGTACTTCCTTTCACTTCAGTCGTATTCTTGTGAAGTATAATGTTGAATACTCTATATCCTCACTTGAGTATTACGCAAGTAAAAGTCAACAGGACTGTCTGATAAATCCCCAGGTAAGGATAAAAAGGGTTTGGTAAAATAGCTGCTGTGTAACTGTTGGATCATTCGATCGGATTTAAGGTTGAAAACGATGTAATCGGACGGAGAATTAGGTAAAATATTCAGGTATTTTGAAAGTATAACATAGACAATATATAAAATAAACATAGAACAAATAAAAAACACGGTTCAAAATAGGGGTGTGCAAAATAGTCGTCATGATGATCCATCATGATTCTAATTTTCTTCTTGACGCCAAGTATCGATTATTAATTTAAAAAAATAAATAAATAAAATTGCATGAATGGTTGGCGAACATCAGCCAAAGACAAGTGTAAGACAACTTCCAGTCCAGTAGATGTCACTGCGGATGTGTTGACGCACGCTGCCTTGTGTGACAAGCATTTCTGGTGTAGGTACCAGATTGACTCGGGGGCCTGAGCCCATGCTGAGATGCGTCAGAGCGTCCGCCATCTTAAATGTGGCAAATCTGCTGTTTCTCAGTCACTTAAACAGTATCAGAGGGACTTTAATCTCTGAATATACTTTGTATTCGTAGTATTTTTGGTTTTGTAAGATTACAAGTTTATTTTTTGTATCCCTTTAGCTTCATTCTCCTGAATTTATTGTCGTTACAAATGCAGACCGCGGGCTCAATGTAGTTTGAGTGGCGTTGCCATAATGTGACGTCATCGGGAGGCGCAAGGCCCATGGCGAATTCGGTGACGTCATCGGAAGGCGCAGGGACCATGGAGAATTTCTTTGTAAAATTGTCCGTTTACAAACCGCAATCCCGCTTTCGAATAAAACCTACACCCCGCTATAATTACTTTAGTAAGCTGTCCAGACCAATCAAAATGTTTTGCGCAATTGTCCAAACGTTAAAACAATTATGTATTGTGACGTCATCAAAAGGCGCAGGCCCCCGATTCAATCTGGTACCTACACCAGCCGTGGGATACTGCGCCGAGTCATCCAAAAACAAAACATGGAGGAGATTGAGAAACTTCGTCCGGCTCCGTCACATTTCAAATCCGATGTTTGGAAGCATTTTGGTTTTAAAAACAAAGGTAAAAATGAAGTTGATATGACGCACGCAATTTGCAAACACTGCTACACCAGAATTAAATACTGTGGGAACACAACGAACCTAAAAACACACATGCAGAGGCGCCATCCAGAAAATCAAGAGCCGCCAGCGCCGCAAAATGTGCTTAAACTAACAACTTTAGATTGCAAGCTAGCCCAAACAACTACACCTGCAAAGAAGGTGACAGAGTCCATCACCGAGTTCATTTGCCAGGATTTGCATCCATATAGTGTGGTGGAGAACCGTGAGTTCAAATAAATGATCAGCACACTGGAGCCTCGTTATATAATCTCGTTATATATAAAGCCGATGCACTTTTTTGTCTCAGTTTGTCCTCTTGTGTTTATGGAATGATATTGTTATAATGGCAGCT